CCTTCCAATAAGAGTCTAAATTTCAGCTTAGGGATGATTTTAACATCCATCCAGCAAAATAAGTGGGAATCAGCAGAGCATTGGCCTGCAGAGACACTAAGGATTTTGGAGACATCCTTAAGTGGCTACTATTTCCAGAAGACTGTATACAATAGGAGAAGTAAGTGGCCATCCAGTCTTAAATTAGAAAAGACAAATATATGTATGTAGCATGTTTAGGATTTGCTAAAAGGATTATAGATAAGAAGCTAACATAGGTAGATGTGCATCTGTGCTGTCACTATTATCAGCCAAGGATACGGAGAAATTGGAACCTCGTGCACTGTTGGTGGGAATGTCAGATGGTATAGTCACTGTGGAAAACAGTGTGGAGGTTCCTCAAAAAATTAAAAATAGAACTACCATATGATCCAGCAATTCCACTTTCAGGTATTTATCAACACACAAAAGAAATGAAAACAGGATCTTAGAGATATTGCACTGCTACCCTCACTGCAGCATTAGTCACAGTGGCCAAGAGGTATAAACAAGTTAAATACCCATTGATGGATCAATGGATAAAGAAAGTGTGGCATATACATAAATGGAATATTATTCAGCTTCCCCCCACAAAAAAGGAAATCCTGTCACATGTTAAAATATGAATAAACCTTGAGGACCTTACGATAAGTGAAATAAGCTAGTTAGAAGGACAAATACTTAAGTATCTAAAGTAGTCAAACTCTTGAAGCAGAAAGCAGAATGATTTGCCAGGGGCTTAGGGAGGGAAACGCTGTTTAACAGGTTGAGTTTCAGTGATAGAAGATAACATTCTAGAGATCTACTGTATGATAGTGTGCACAGAATTACAATACGGCACTGCACATTCTAAAATGTGTTAAGATGGTAGATTTCATGCTTTGTGGTTTCAGCCACAACTAAAGGAAAAATAAATGCAACATAGTATAGCTACTTTGAAAAAGTTTGGCAGTTTCTTACGAAGTTGAACATAGTCGTGGGTAGGATACAGCAGTCCTAGGTATTATCTACTTAATCTAAAAACGTGTCCATATAAAAACCTGCCTGTGAATAGTTACAGCACCTTTACTCATAATTCCCCAAAAATGAAAACAACCAATTTGCTGCAATAAGTGAAAAGATAAACAAACTATGTACATCTATACAATGAAATAATATTCAGGAATAAAAAGGAAATGAGTTATCCAGCCACAGAAAGACAGGGAATAAGCCTCATTACATATTACTATGTGGAAGTAGCCAGTCCAAAAGGACTACATATTATATGGTCCCAAGTATATGAAATTCTGGGAAAGGCAAAACAAAAAAGACATTGAGAAAAATCACTGGTTGGATTTCAGAGAGAGATTAATTATGTAAAACACAAGGGATTTTTAGAGTGTTGAACTATTCTATAAAGTGGATACATGACATTAAGCATCTGTCAAATCACAGAACTGTTCAACATGTAATTCATGCGAATTTAAAATTCACTTAGGAAGTTGGGGGTTCTCTGGAAGGAATACTATGGCAAAACATCTAACTGTACAATAAATGTACAAAACAACCTCACTGAAAGGAGGAGAATAGGTCCTGATGTAAATAACTTTGTAAGTGAGAGGAGTCTATGAGACTAAAAGCAAAAGGAACCACCCATAAATCCTACCTAGAAGATAAAGTTGTTTCCTACAGAGGTACAGATTAACAATTTAGATACTGCTTTATATATACTGAAACTGAACATTTAATTAAGTAAATGAATGGAGAATGGTGGGTATCATGTTTCTCTCTGCTGGAATGTGAATTTATAGATAAGGAAGGGTAGGAGGCTAGAATAATCCATGTGGTCATGTGGTAATAGATTAGAGTTGGAGACATCAGGATGAACTTATGTGTAGCTTAGTGTAGACACAGATGGTTAGATAAAGAAATATTTATAGATATGTGTATATACATATTAATTTACACACACATATTTGTTCTATCAGCTGACAGCACCTAAAAGATAGAACATTGCAGTCACAATGAGCACACCTTGCTTGGTTTCTAATACCATTCTTCAATAAATAAACCAGGACTTCTTGGAAAAATGGCTGATTCTAGGACTAGGCAGGACACAGACAAGATGGGCCTGGGGCATCTTATATTGCCAGAAAGTTAAGGAAATAAAATATAAATAAATAAATAAACCCCACCGCTACTGAAAGGGGTCTACCAAAGGGACAAAGAGCCAACTGGAAGAGCTCCCAAAGACCAAAACTAGGACAATTTGCATAAATAGTATTGGATTATAACCTGAAGTATAAAATAAATATCCATGACTCCATACTAAAGGAATAATTGAATGGATAAATTAATAAATAGAGAAGAGACAAATCTGTGTAGAAGAATTCCAAGATTTATGTAGATACTCCAACCTCAAGGAGGGAGAGCACAACTTCTGTTCCATAAGTATGGGCTATACATGGTCCACACTTTTGGACTTCCTTCCAAAGAGTATGGTATGGAAAAAGAAGAAATAAAATGTAACTTTTACAGTACACAAACCCGACAAAACACTACATCAGCCAGGCGATCAAGATCACATAAATCCTATTATTAGTATCTGCCAGTCATATGATATAAATGGCACTTTTTACTTCTGTGATCTTTCCGAAACTCCGTAATCCTATGCTGAAAATGAGAGAAACATTAAATTCCAATAAAGGGGCATCCTACAAATTATCTCCCCACACTTCTCAGAAGTGTTAAGGTCATCAGAAACAAGCAAAATATGGGAAATTATCACAGCAAAAGAAGTTTGAGACATGACAACCAAGCATGATGTAGACTCCTTAGAACAAAGAACATTGGGCAAAAACTTAGGAAATCTGAAAAAACTATGGAATTTAGTTAATAGTAACACATTGATATTGATTCATTAATTATAAAAAAAATGTACCACACTAATATAAGATGTTAATAATACAGGAAACTGGATGTCAGTTATATGGGATCCCTCTGTACTATCTGTTCAATTTTTCTGTAAATCTAAAACTGCTCTAAAAAAATAGTCTATTTAAAAAAAAAACAGAAAAATACAAGTCACAGATTGGGACAAAATACTTATAAGGCATCTTTGTGATAAAAACTTGTAACCAGACTATCAAGAACTCCCAAAACTCAGTAAGAAAACAATCCAATGAAAAATGGGCAACAAATCTGAACATACATTTCACCAAAGATACACCAGTAAATAGCATATGAAAAGATGCTCAACATCAGTAGTCATTAGGAAATGAATATTAAAACCACAAAGAAATACCACTACACACGAATTAGAATAGCTGAAATTAAGATGACTAACCATACCAAGTGTTGACAAGGAGGTGGAGGTTGAACTCTTACAGACTGTGGCATGGAATGGGAAATGGTAAAATCACTTTGGAAAACAGTTGGGCAGTTTCTTGAAAAGATAAACACAAACCTACCATAGCATCTAGCCACTTTACTAAGTATTCACTTAAAAGAAAGCATAAGGCAATATAAAGACATATACAAAGATGTTCCCAGCATTTTATGTATCATAGTAACCAAAAAATTTTCAACAAATATCCTTTAACAGGTGAATAAACAACTTATGGTAGAATTCTACAACAGAACACTCCTCAATAATAAAATGCAATGAACAATGGATAGATGCAACAACATGGATGAACTCAAAACAATGCTGAAAGGAACCAGATCATATATTGTATGATTTCATTTAAATTAAACTCTCAAAACTGTGAACTACTCTATAGTGGCAGGAAGCACATCAATGGTTGTGTGTGGAGGGCACAGCAGCAGGGATTGCAAAGAAATGGGAGGATTTCAGGACTGATTGCTGTGTTCACCATCTTGATTGAGGTGATGCTTTCATGGGTGTGTATATATGTCAAAATTACCAGACTGCACACTTGAAATATACATATAGTGTATCAGTCAGCTTTCAGTAGAGCAGTTAAATATGCTAATGGGTGAGAGAGGGACTAAGCAGAGCAAGATTTTTTGCTTCTTAAAGGAATGCTACATGAAGGGCAGAAATTCAGAAGGACTCTAGATCAATACAGATCTTCCTTGACTCAAGATGGGGTTACATCCCAAGAAGCCCATTAGAAATTGAAATTATCTTAAGTCAGAAATGCATTTAATATAGCTAACCTACAAACATCATAGCCTAGCCTACCTTAAACATGCTCAGAACACTTAACATGAGCCTACAATTAGACAAAATTCTAACACAAGCCTATTTCATTATAAAGCATTGACTATCTCATGTAATCTATTGAATACAGAACAGAACATGAACAACAGACTGGTCATATGACACAGAACAGATGTTATAAGTGTACTGGTTATTTACCTTCATGATCTGTGACTGGCTGGGACATGTGGCTCACTGCTGCTGTCCAGCACCGTGAGAGTATCATACCACATATCACTAGCCTGGGACAAGATCAAATTTGAAGTTTGAAGTCTGGTCTCTCTTGAATGTGTATTGTTGTCACACCATTAAAAAACAGAGAAATTGTAGGTCAAACCATCTTAAATTGGGGACTTTCTGTATTATTTAAAGTGCTGATCTAAAAACTATTACTGGTTCATAAGGACATTCAGAGCTTGCACAATAAAGTATATCAGCTACCTCAGCTGATTTGTTTTTTCATAACCAGTATTTCAATGAAGAAAGCAGTATATTACTGAACATTCTGGCACAAGCTCCTCATCTAATTACTGACCTGTATAAAACAGTTCATAGTAGGCATTATTCTACAGACACCTTTTGAGCAGCACCGTCTAGATCATACTCAGATATCTATCAACCTCTCCAAGCCTATTCTCATGTGTATGATTGCTCTGGATACCTCAGATAATGGTCTAATGCTCTAATGAGCTATACAGCTTGCAAACAGCAGGAGCCAATTAGTCATGTACTATTGCATCACGGAGACAGTCATTTGAAATAAAACAATACATAAAAATAAAATGCCACTTTTTATTTGTTCATAGTGTTTGTTAAGCCAAATTAAAAATGGTGTTTTCCAATGGTTGTTAACATCCAAAACTGTTAAATTCAATATTAGGAGTTTTATAACAAAACTGGACCTATATATAATCACAGCTAATAATTGAATAGTTATATATATACTATATAATGACATCTATTCTTTTCATCAGAGCAAACCGTCCCAATCAGATACAGAAATGCAGAAATAACAGTGTATTTTCTTTTTCCTGTGTTCTAGTAAAAGATTTGTCTCTAGAATTCATAAACTCAACTGTTCACACAGATGTATTTTTTCTTGTTCATGTCTGAAGAACTTCTTTCTCTAAGAAATTTTAACATTTTATAATCTTTCCTTTGAAATACGAGAACAATGTGGAATCTCCTGAGTTATATAATGCAGCTTATACATTCTTTAAAAGCTATTTTTTAAATATAACAAATTAATCATATCTATCCATAATACACATCCTTGCTATTCACATACTTCTTTAAGCAACATTCAAGTATATTTGTGCTTTATATGTTTACTTTACTTTGGAGCCTATTTTTAATTTTCAATAAAACTGTGTATCTATAAAGATTTCTCAAATATTTAATAAAAGAGGCAAAATGACCATTATGAAAATATAAACTGCTATTATAGCTTTTTCATCTTTCATTTTTTTATGCATTTCCCATGAACCATGTAATTTCCTGTTCTTTAGGGAAGTTGATACATTTTTATCTTTGTAATCTCAACACTGCTGCTTTCTCAGCTTGGCGTAAGAGTCACTATATTGCAGGTTTTCTGAACACACAATATTCACTCCGGCATATCAGTTGTAGCAATGGGATCTGACAGTGTTGGTATTCATCATATCCAGTTATTTCAACTGCCGTACCACCTTAAAACACAAAGTTGGGAGGGGCGGGAAATCATGTTAAACCAGAATGATGTCAGTACCTGCTAAATGAAATGCTATGAAATCTTTAAAGAAGGGCATGGTGAACTGAAATTAAGCAAGTACGATGCACAGTAACCAATGGCACGTGTGCCTGCCAGCATCTAAAGTTCAGAATCATCTCACATTTCTCCCAGGCCTGACATACACTCCTGCAGACATCTAGCCCCATCCAAAGGTAAGCAGGCTCCCAGTGTGGTCAGTGGCCATGTGAACTGGTCAGGAAGGCACAAAATGGCTAATTGCAGAGTATGGAGGGAAGCAGAAGCATACCAAGTTTGAAAAAGACTGGGCCAAGAAGACTGGTCCATGGCAAAAGAAGTTGGTAAGAATAACTGACTTTAATCACTGAGACTAGAGCACTAGAGAAAATGCTCAGCAACAATGAAAGGAACTTACATATACAAAGATCATTGTTTTTCTTTCTTCCTCACAGCCACAGTTTCTACTGTTTAAATACATTTCCCCTTAATAAAACATACTGTTATTTAGCCATTCCTCTGTACATGTAAAGTTTTCATTCATTCATTAGTTTTATCTTGTCTCAACTTGCTTTTGTCATAATAACCACAAGTCATATTTTATCCCCTCTACTTATAGGATTATAAAAGCAAGTTTATTTGTCTAGTTAAATGAAACACTCTTTTCTTCAAGACTATAACTATTTTTAATCATAAAAACTCTTTAGAGTCAACTAATTTCATAGCCCCAAGGTAAAAATTTTATTTTTATCACTAATGAGCACTAGAGCAAACCAAAACACCAAATATACCTGTTAAAACAGTACTATTACTCTTTCAAAAATAACCACTTGATAAATTATGCTCAAAACTAATTAAAACTATAAGCTATAATTAGTATCTAAAGTAAGAGATGCAGAACATATCAACAAAGCATTTTCTGGGTTTGACATAAAACATTAGGAACAAGAGAAATATCAGAAATGAATTACGAGTTTTTCTTCTATTGCTCTAAAGGTATCGATCAAAACTTAAATATTTTAAAGCATGAAAAAAATTTAAAATACCTTATTAGCTGCTTCCAAGAAATTTATTAGATTCTGCAGCTCTTCTTTATTCATTTCAATAGAATATGGTTTGACTTCACCATTTTCTTTTACATCCAGGTGAAGGTTTAAAAGTGGCATTTGTAGTGTAGCAATCTTGTCACTAGAAAGTGCAAGCTGTTTAAAATCAGGAAAATAGCAATTAATAAGTAGTAAAAAGGACTGTGTTAAATGTGTATCACAGCTTTTTAACAATACATTTAAAAAAAAGAGTGCTCCTGTTTGCTTTCAAGTACAGGGAAAGATGGAAGAAATAAAAACCCATGCCAAACCAGCATGTATTTAAAAAATAGAAAGAGAAAGGAGAATGAATAAAAGGACATTTTGTGACAGAAGCAAAAATCTAGAGTGGAGATACAGCTGAGAAGTACTGAATAGGTCCAATGTACCCAGAAACAGAGAATTCCTAAAGAAGTACAAAGATAACAAGAAGATAAAAGTCTATGTATAAGATTAAATTTAAAAACATTGGTAAACTGTCAGCACTTAAGATACTTAGTTCACGATCAGGTAGCTTCCTACTAAACTATTGGTAAACACATTATTAAGATACCACCTTCAATTAGAACCCTTCAACAAAAACACTTAACACATTTATCTTACTTCCAACTTTCTGTCTGAAGAGAGTATCCCAGAGGCAATAAAATAAATAAACATTTATGATACTAACACTTTTTGAAGCAAGCACCATAGCTTCACGGCAAAAGAAAACTCAATTTTCCTAGAATCTGAGCTAGAAAACTCCGCAATCACTGAATCTTGGAGCCCTACCACTTGCAAAAATTTACCTGCACAATGGTAAAGGACTCCTTCCCTAACAACCAATCTCAAAGGAAATTCCTTATGGGACATATGCCATAGAATCGAGTCCTCACATACCTCCTCCATTCTCTCTCAAAAAACAGGATTCATACTATATAAGATTTGGAAGTATCGAATATTGTCTACCTTATGGATAGTTCTCTGCAGTATTTCCAATAATGGTTTCTCAATCTATGCTTGAACACTTCCTATGATGAATGTGCCACCTCAAGAAAAGGTTTAAATAATGTTCAGATGAAGAAAACAAATCCTACCATTTGCAACAACATGGATGGAGCTAGAGGGTATTATGCTCAGTGAAATAAGCCAGGTGGAGAAAGACAAGTACCAAATGATTTCACTCATCTATGGAGTATAACAACAAAGCAAAAACTGAAGGAACAAAACAGCAGCAGACTCACAGAACCCAAGAAGGGACTAGCAGTTACCAAAGGAAAAGGGACTGGGGAGGGTGGGTGAGAAGGGAGGGATAAGGGGAATAAGGGGCATTACAATTAGCACACATAATGTAGGGGAGGACACAGGGAAGGCAGTATATCACAGAGAAGACAAGTAGTGACTCTATAGCATCTTACTATGCTGCTGGACAGTGATTGTAATGGGGTATGTAGTGGGGACTTGATAATGGGGGGAATCTAGTAACCACAATGTTGTTCATGTGATTGTATATTAATGATACCAAAATTTAAAAAAGAAAAATTAATAAAAATACTCACTAAAAAAAAAAAAAGGCTCAAGTTGCTGGCAGCTGAGATGGACAAGACAAAGAGAGGAGCAGAGCTGAGAGGTGAGAGGACCTCAGAGTTTGGATAATGGATTTTGGGTTTGCCCAGATCAGGAGACATTAATAAAAGGTAGCAGTTGGTGGCAGCACTGGATGGGTCATGGAGGAAAATGGACTGGCACAACCTCAATATAGCTGCAGACAGAACTGGTTGGCACTGGTTTGGGGTAATTGATCCAGCTGGAACTGAGCTGCCCTTCTTTGGCCTCTCCCTTCTCCTGCCTGGAGCAGGTTGTGTGTGCCAGTTGGTCACTGTCACAGCTATCACACTCTGCCATCATAGTGCAGGAGCACACGTCAATGAGTGTGACTGTGTTCCATGTTCCAATAAAGCTCTACTTTCAAAAACAGAAAGAAAAAATAATAATAATGTTCAGATACCAATAGTTATTGAAAGATTCTTCCCGAGGCTGCATTTGAACCCATCTTGTTGCAAGTCATATACCTTAGACCTTAGCCTTTGTCTTAGCCTCTAAAGCTACAGAATATAAATCTATTCCCTCATCTGTGTGACTTTCAGTCCTTAAAAAAATAACTGTCATTTTTCTACTAACTTTTTTCTTTTCCGGGTACATGATCTCAAGTGTTTCAAAGGAATTTCATGTATCATGATTTTAAATTCTATTCATTCTTTTCTAGTTAGGCTCCAATTTGCTTAAATATCCTTAAATTTTGCAGCCAGAACTAAAGTTACTAAACTGGTTGAACTAAGTAAAAAGTTTTAATGGTGAAAAACATAATCAGAACTACTCATTACTTGAAACACTGCACTTCTACCAAGAAAACCTAAGACTGTATCATCATGCTGCTGACTCAAGCCACACCTGGCAAATCAAAACAACTAAATGTTTCTCATATGTGTTACTTTTAGCATGTCTCTCGTATCATTTATGTAATATGACTGGCTTTATTTTTTGGTAAAATAGTTTTTTTAAAGTTTTCTTCAGTTATCTCTCCTTAGTTTAGTTTGCTTCATTTGGTTCATCACTGTAACTTGCTGTAAAACAATTTTAAACTTTCACTGCATTATATTATTTAATGTATCTCTAATTTTGTGTGACCCTCAGATATGATAAGCATAATACTGACAAAAATATTTTAGATGATTGGGCAAAGACCTGAATCACAGAGACCACTTTCCTGGCTCATACAAATTCATCTGGCTTTGGTTATTAATCCAGCTATGATCCCATCTAACTTATTTTTCCATACTTTTCTCCACTTTATCCACAAAGACAATCTGAGGCACTTTATCCAGGGTCATGCTGAAATGCAGAAACACAATATATCTGTTTTCTCCTCACCTAGGTAGGTACCCTATAGAGGAGAGAAAATTAGTCTGACATTGTTCTTTATGAACTCTACAATCATGACTCTTTCTTCAAAGTGTTTTTAAGTGCTCTTTTAATAACACATTATAGATTTTCCTCTTGGAAGTAGAATCACATTTGCCAATCTTGGGAAGATTACAAGGTCTAGAAAGTTCTAGCCAAAAATATATGTTGAATATATACTGCTCTACTACTTAACATATTTAAAGACTTACAGCTCTGCTTACTTAAATTTATTATCAGTGTAATGTTAGTGTACTTATGCCCAAGTTAATGCAAAAGATGCAATTTTAATTATCTTTGCTATTCTTTGGGGACAATGTATTCTCAGAATAACAGAAATTTTAGATGTACATTATGAAAAAGAATAAATCTTTATATTCAAAAAATTAAATAAAAAACATACTTGCTCATAAATTCTCACCTTTAACTGCCAGTCAAAATCCTGTAGCTGGGCAGAAGAAATATCAACTATTTCTTCTAAAAGAGTCTTCTTGATTTCATCTTTCCTACTTTTCAAGCATTTCATGACAGCTTCTTGATGAAGTGAATTCAACTGGTTCAACTGCTGAAATACCTATAAAAATAAAAATAAACAGAAAATAAGAGAAAGGGCCTTTTTGTTTAAATTGTAAACACATAGCTCCACTCCTCTTTCACATGCCCTTCAAAATGACAGTAAAAGAAAACACAAGCAAAAACAAAGAAACACTTCTGTAACAATGAAAAGAATAAGATGAGAATGCATAACTAGCAAATAAGCGGTCTTAACATATTTTTGCAAATCAGAAAGTAAAGGAAAAGAGCTGACTGATGAAGTGAATACATCTGTTGACCACTAAAGCTGTTATAGCTACATTAATATATCAGACAGTGTGGCCCATAAGGCAAGAAGTATTACAAGAAATAGAGAAAAAAAGGACCATTCAACAGAAAGATATAACAATCATAAATTTGTGCACCCCAAACAACACAGATTTAAAATATATAAGGCAGCAAAACTTGGCCAAATTAAAAAGAGAAATGGATAATCCATATTTATAAGCAGAAATGTTTACGCACCTCTCTATAACTGACAGAAAAAAGAAAAAAAAATCACTAAAGTTAAAGAACTGAAAAACACCATCTTTCTTTAACCAAATCAATACAACTGTAGAATATGTATTTTCAAATGTATATGAAACATTCCCCAAAATGAACCATATGAGATATGTAGCAAATCACATCTTTCAAAAGACTGTAATTATCCTACTTATAATTTTTAACTATTGTATAATTAAATCACAACTGATAAAAAATTTCTAAATATTTGAAAATTAAGCAACATAGTAACATAATTCTAAGTAAAAAAAAGAAAATCAATATTGCATAAATGCACCCAGAACAGGAAAAGGAAAAAAAATACTTCCAAATTCATTTCATGAGACCAGAATAAAACTTGACACTATGATAAGGATTATAGGAAAGAAAAACTATCGGCCAATATCACTCAGATTTAGACACAAAAATCCTAAATGAAATATTGGTAAATCAAATCAAGAGATACATTAAAAAGTATGTCATACCAAGGAGGGTTTATTTTTAGCAATGCAAGTGAGTTTTAACATTTAAAAATCAGTGCAAAATACATTTACAAAACATAGGAAAAAAACAATAAATTAAGGGAAAAATTTTTGTTAAGATTCACTATTCATTAATAATAAAGATTCTCAGGAAAGGTGAAACTATAGCAACTTCATTAATCTGATAAATGGATATCTGTAAAATCATACAGCTAGGATACTAAATGGTAAAACAATGAATACATTCTCACTAAGGTCAAGAATAAGACACTGCTTTTTTTTTTCCAACACTGTCCTAAGGATGTTAGCTAGTGTAATAAGGAAAGAAAAAGAAATATAAGATATTAAAATTTAAGAAATGATTGCATACAAAAAAAATCCAAAAAAATTTTACAAGTCATTAAATAAATTTTTTAAATCACTGGATACTAGGGTTAGTATATAAGAATTAACTATGGGGGGGGAGTGGGACAGGTAAGTGGGAAAGGGGGGATAAAGGGGCACAGAAATTCTCAATCATAACATAAGCTGGCCACAGGGATAGTAGTACAGCATGGAGAATATAGTCAGTGAGTCTGTAACATCTTTCTATGTTGGTAGATAGTAACCACACTAGTGGAGATGAGGATTTAATAATATGGGTAACTGCTGAACAACTGGGTTATATATTTGAAACCAATATAAAATTGTATATCAACGATATTTCAATTTAAAAAAATTAACTGTTTCTACATGCTAGCAATAAATAGAGAACAAAATTAAAGAATATCAAAAACACCAACTGCTTAGAAATAAATCTAACAAAATATTTGTAAGACCTTTACACTGAAAACTACAAAATAGTTGAGAGAAATTGAAGGTAGTGCAAATAAATAGGAGGTTATACTATGTTCATGGATTGGAAGGCTCAGTATTGTTAAAACATAAATTTTGCCTCAAATGATCTAGAGATTCAGTGCAATCTCTATGGTAGGAACTTAGTCCCCCTCAAAATTGAAATGTTAAAACCCTATCCCCCAATGTGGTATCTGGAGGTGGGGACTTTGGAAGGTAATTAGGTTTAATGGGTCATGAGATCAGGCCTTTGCAAAGGGATTAGTGCCCTTATAAAAAGAGACACCAGAGTGCTTGCTTCTATCTCCCTTCACCATGTAGGAAACACAAGAAGGAAGTCTGCAGCCAGGAAAAGAGCCCTCTACCTGGAACCAAATCACTCAGCACCTTGATAGTGGATTCCCCAGTTTCTAGAATTGTGAGAAACAAATTTTTATTGTTTAAGCTGCCCAGTCTATGGTATTTTGTTATGGCAGCCTAAGATGACTAATACTCCTCATCAAAATCCCAACAGGTTTTTGGTTAAATGACAAGCTAATGTTAAAATGTACATGAAAATAAAGAGGACCTAGTATAGCCAAAGCAATCTTGAAGAAGCACGAAGTTGAAGGTCTTCTTCTACCAGGTATCAAGACTTAAATGTTGGAGTGAGCATTTAATAATGTAGACAACTGTTGAATTACTGTGTTGTATACTTGAAACCAATATTGCATGCCAAATATACTTCAATAATATATGAGAAGGTATCAGAAGAAAAAAGATTTAATGTAATATAGCTTGAATTCCACAGTAATTAAGACTGCACAGTATTGGCAAATAAAAACAAATATATTAATGATTAATGGAGTAGAATACCGACTTCAGATACAGACCCAAACATATATGGTCACCTGATTTACAACAAAGGCTGTACAGCAATTCTATGGGGCAAGGATGGTGCTGGGTCAACTGGATAGTAATGTGGAAAAATTTCAACACAAAAATATTAACTTAAAAATGCATCACTAACATAAATGTGAGAGCTTTAATAAAAGTGAGAGCTCCTATAAGAAAACAAAAACATCTTCATGACTGTAGCCAAATATTATTAAACAGAAATAACTGACAAACTAGACTTGACAAAAATTCAGAATTTCTGTTCACGAAAAGATGTCACTAAGAGCAAAACTGCAAACATAACAGAAGATATTTAAAATACATATATCTAATAAAGAACTCACATACAGAATATCGTCAAAATCAAAATAACAAACATAACTACATAAAAAATGCACAACCTACCCAAACACGCCCAAATGATTTCTGACAAAAAATACAAATACAATTCAATGGAAAGATGCCCATAACCCAGCAATTTCACTTCCAAGATGTCTATCCTAGAAAAGCTGACCTATCTATAAACAAAGAGACAGGAACAAAATGTTTAAAGCAGCACTACTGGTAATAATGAAAGAGGCAATGACCTGTTTATCAGTAGGGGAACAGAAAAATAAATCCTATAAATTCCCACCATCAAATACTATGAGGGGTTTAAATACATTAACCAGATCTACATTTGTCAACACTGGTAAATCTAAAACACACTGCTCCATAAAAAAAATCGCAATAATTGTAATTTAATAAATTTTAATTAAATTTTCAATAAGTAGATTTAATAGATCTGAACAGCTAATTACTTATTTTTTTATTATAAGGTACAGAAATTTGGAGTGCAGTTACCTCTTCATCGGATAAATTTTTACCAACTACAGCTTTGAAAAATTTGGTAATATCTTCTAGAACATGATTCCATTCGGCTGAATCCCAAACACTGTGATAATCCTGGTAGAGAGGATAAGCTTGGCCACAAAGGCCATCAATTATTTTGTGAAGAAGCTGGAGGAAAAAAAAGGAAATAAATGTAATTGTAAATAAAATTATAAAACAGATTTACCTTCTTTGTAGCAAACAAATGGTGTTGGAAGAAATTAATGTTATCTGTAAGAGCAGCTGGGGTTAAAATATAACTACTTTTAACAATATTCTTAGTTAAAAATTAAAGCTCCATATTAACCCTAGACTTTCTAGAATTTTGCCCACATTCAAAGCTAAAATAATTTTATAGAGACACAGTTGTTTCTCCAATATTCCTAAAAGGAAGATGGTAAATATTAAAGTTTCACCTTGGGATTCCTTAGAACATCATATTTACATGAATAACCAAAGGAGAAGTTATGACTTTTAGGTCAGTCTTTTACTGTACATCTATAAACCTCATTTTGCTTTGCCTCCATTTCACAACATTTATGCTTAGTTTTTTTGATCCACTCCAAGAAAGTCCTCAGTACCTTTGTTTTCCTTTCTTACATTCTCTTATCTCTACCCTACCTTAATATCAACAATGGAACTCCTAACATATATATAACTGAACACAGTGATCAAGGCTGGATTCTTTAATGAAACTAGCTAGTTTAAATCCTAGTTCCACTCCTTACCTAGAATTATCAAGTAATTTAGAAGGTCTGCACCTCAGTTTCCTCATGTGTAAAATCAGGATATCATCTACCCCCATAATATTTAAGAAAGAAGGATTAAATAAGAATTTAATAAGATTGAATTAAATAAGGATTGAATAAAAATACATGCAAATCACTTGGCACATTCCTGGCACGTACAAAGCACTTAAACATTGCTATCCACTGTTACCTTTCTTATTATTAATACAATTGCTATTGCTACTGTGGCTGCTGCTAGGTCCCATGCCTTTAATAGATACTGACAGAATGCCTACTATCTGGCACTATCATAGGCAAAGAATTAATATGGTTGTCTCTCAGGGGATATCTGTGTCTTGTAAGAGCATTTCAACCCAAACAACTTGGAAATGCATATAAGCAGCAAGTCTTCCAAATCTCTTCCCCTGGGCCATATTCCATTCCATTTTAAGCAACAGCTCCTCCTCTATAATGCCACATGTACCAGAACAGACATGAGCAATTGGTAACCCCACTTCCAAACAATGGCTAATGAGCTATATGAACAGGATTTTTATTTACCATAAATTAACCAACACTGTCAGTTTGAAATTCATTCAAAGTTTTCTATACATATTCCATCTTATCCCAGACTGCCCCTATGCTACAGCAAAACCCAGAACTCAAACTAAAAAATAAAAGTGCTATCTTTTGGAACATAAATGTTTTTTATTCATTCTCAAGTGCATAATGAGTACTTCATTCGTTGGTAAACAAGCTAATGGAAATACAAAGAAGAAATAACTACAATAGTTACCATTTATGGACCCCTAACTGTGTACCAAGCACTGTGCTGATCCTTACTACAACCCTATGAGGTAAGTATTGTTATCCCCATTTTACAGATGAGGCGACTGCAGACAAATCAGGTAAGGTTCCATCATATAAGAGCTTTAGTCTGGTACAGAAAGGCAAATACATAAGTAAATGCAATTTAGAATGACAGGAGCTCTAATACCACTTTACAGAAGGTACACAGGAGCATAGGGAGGAAGCAGGGAAAAGAAGCAGCGGCTGTTCAAACAGAAGAGCATTTCCAGTCACAACTGCATATGCATAGGAGAAAAGTGTAAAATGACACAACTCAGTCTGGAGGATGACAGGCTACAAGACTGGAGAGATGGGTAGAGGCCAAACCATAAAGGGGCTTGTATACAGTGCAAGAGAGTCTAGACTTTAATCTGTTCTTTAATTGTTTCAATAGGGAAGCAATCAATTCACATAAATGCATTATTTTTCCATAAATTTGACAACAGGTTGGGAGATGTAAGGAGGGAAAAGGGAAAGAGAGATGATGACACCAGGGCTCCCCCTCTTCAGTTTACCAGCAGGAGATCATGGAGGTCTAAATTGTTAAGGATACTCAAAATGGAAGCAGTCGATGTGAAAAGAAGGAGGAACCAGGAGACTACTCAGAATTTTAGGTTGAGTGACTGGGTAAATGGTGGTGCCACAAACTAAAAATGAGGCTACACCCACAGGAGGAGTAATTCAGGAGGAAAGACAGGAATTCAACCAAGGGCATACTGAATTTGAGGTGTCTGTGATATATCTAAGCTTCTCATCTAAGAAGTAAGTAGAATGATGACAGGAGCAAAGACTCTCAGTCAGTAGATCTGAGCATATGTTCCAGCTTTGCCACTTACTAGTTTGACAACCTTGAACAAGTTCTTAAACCTGGTGCAGACATTTTAGTTTCCTCCTTGTAAAATCAGAGAAAGGAATTAAGATGGTTGTTTTTGATCCTAGTAGGAATTAAGTTAATTCCCTTCTATCTCCACCACATATTCACCATTGTAAATGGAACAGAGGAAAAAGGAAGGCCAAAATATGGGACTTATAAAACTTGTCTATCACATACCCCTCTATGATATTATGTAGGCCAAGCCCCCACCCCAACCCTTCACCCATTTGGGACTTACTCAAAGCTGCCTATCACTGACACTGAAGGCTAGCCCATCAAAGCCTGAGATCCAGGTAATTGCCCCAGTGACAAAACTAGGTTTGGTATGCATTCCTTCCTTCCTGCAACAAACACTGGTTAGGAACCTAACATCATATGCAACTCTCAAGAACGGGGGACATAAAACAAAGTATCTACCTTGACAGAGCTCAGAATAAGAGGCAGACCAGTGGCAAGCAAGCCAGTTAAGTTGTTTTTCAGGAATACTTATTGAGGCCTGCATTGCTGGGGGTCAGAGGAGAAGGGAATAAAAATATTAACATATTAATTACAATACAATGTGTTAGTAGTATGAAGTCTAAAAAGCACCCCAGCTCCCTAACACTGAAGCTCAGTTTTGCATATACTGTTTTCTTTAAGGAGTAGGCAAATTTCCTTCATATCTAGTACTTAGGGCACTAGGCTTTGCTTGAAAGTTCAAGGGGTGGAGGACAGGGGGTGAACACACTTCTCAGTCAGATTTTCCTCTTATAGTAACCACTGGATTTTCTTATTTTCAGTTTAGTCAAGATACTGCTATATGTCCTTACTGTCTCCACATTACATCTTTCAAACTCACTAAAATTTTGCTGCTGCCAAAATAATTATTTAAACTTCCAGTGCCTGTGGTTAAACAGAGAAGGAGCATGACATATAAAGACTCAAGCCACCTGACTCCTGCCCAGCTGTCTAGCCTTAATCTCCCTGCTCTGCTCCTCACTTTGAATTTCAGCCTCTAAGAATTATAGCAGGTTTTCAAAGCCCCTGGGGCCTGGCTCTCTTCTTCTAGCCTTTGTAGCTGCTACATCTCTACCTGTAACACTCTCTCCCCTCCAGCCTGTTTGGTTCGTATTCATCGTTCAGGCTCAAGTAGAAATCTAGATGTTCCTACTCTGGAAAGTCTTCCTTTGTTCCTTCAAATCTAGTTGCTACCCGTCCCACAAGCTTATTACTGGATAACTCGGTTCTCCTTTCAGACTGTCTTTTCAGACTCGAGGTGCCAAGGTATATGGCACCTCTTGAGAAAAGGCCACGTTGGGCCATCCCTCCTAAATAAGTCACCCAGTTATTGACAGCACTTACTAGTTTTTTATCTGTCTCCCTCAAGGGGGCAGAGTATTCTTCTCTAGGTCACCGAGGTACAGAAGCTCCTAAGCACTGTGCCAGGTGCCTAGGCAGAGTTAGGAGGTGTGTGCTGTGTGAATGAATGAAATATAAATGAGACGCTGCAAACCACGCCGTAAGCTTTCAAAAACTACATGGGGTCTCCGCTCCCCAGCCCAGAGTCACTGGTTCCGGGCCGCGCGTGGGAGCGGAGGGGCGGTGCTCACTCGGGGGCGGGCGTGTCTGTGCGCAAGACACCTGAGGAGCGACTCAAAGTCAGGGTGCGGAGGGGGCACCCCAAGCCTGGCCCCCTAACTTGTCAGGGTGAGGAGGGGGTCTGCCCCCCGAAATCACGTCCCTTCCCCCCACTTCCCTGAGCAACCAGAACGAGCTGGGTGGGACCGGGCCCAACCTGCACGTCCGGCCGTCTGGAGGCCCCGACTCCGCACGGCCGCTGCCGCCCTCCTCACCTGCAGGCCCCGCTCGGCTGGAAGCTTCTGCAGCCGCCACAAGGGCGTCCCTTCTTCCGGCTCCATCCCAGTTCTCAGCCTGTACAGGGTCACGTAACGAGGCCCGGCCGCGCCTCCGGTGAGACAGCTCGCCCACGTGACTCCCGGGTGTGGCCGGGCCGGCGTAGAACGCCGGAGCCTGTGTGCGCGTGCGTAGAGACTCTGCCAGCGCCTTCCCATCTCTACGGAAAGTCCTTTTCCGCTGGGTGTCACACTGCTTAAACACCCATGTATTATTATATTGAGGGCAAGTTTGCGAAACTCAGTTTGCAACTTTGTTCAGAGTTCTGTTGAACTTTCTCTGCCTTCTTTAGAAAGCCGTCTAAAAGGGTAACGGTGTGTGGGGGTGCGCCCAGGGCCATTGATTTCTCCGAGGTTTAACCTTTGTCTCCTACTGAAGTATCCTGGAAGGTTAAGTACTTCGGGAGGTTAATTAAGGGTTTACTGCGAGAGAGATTCTTCATATGGATTGTCCTATGAAGAGAGTACTGTGTTCATAACCATTTGCAAATAACAAGATCGGAAAAATTGCTAAGGTTGTCAGATTTAGTAAATAAAAATACAAGACGCCCAGTCAAAAATAAAATTTCAGATAAACAATGAATGATATTTTTTTGTAAGTGTGCCCTGAACATTATATGAGACATACTTACCCTAAAAAAAATTTGTTTTTCTGAAATTCTATTTAACTGGCCTCCTTTATTTTGTCTGTCAAACCAGAAGTCATTTACCCGAACTACCTAAGGCACAGCCTGAAGTTAAACTCAGACTCTAGAGCCACATTGTTAACATTGAACTAAACCTAAAATCCAAACAGCCTTTCTTTGATTTCTCTCATTATTGTAGCTGTTACTTCAATCAGGTGCAGGAGAATTCAGTGGTGATAAGACAGTCCTTGCCACCCAAAAAAGCACAATACATAGGAGAAACAAATTACAATCAAACACAAATGTAATAATAAAGTGATGGAAAGGGATGAAGCATATCACTCAAGAGAAAATATTTAAGTCTGTGGACTATGAAAAGGAGAACTACCTATTTGTGACATCCTTCACTGTTTAGCTCAAATGCCCTTTCTCCACTCTTGTGTCCCACTTCTAGGAGGTGAGAGCAGTTTCTGTCTCCTCTGAATGTTCATGACTGTCACTTAAAATATTTACCACTTTCTAGTGCTTAATATAGATAGGTATGTACAACAATCATTGCCACAAATGAAACATAATTGTCTTAAGACACTTTGTGCATAGAAGGGCCCAAGTAAGAGTTAATAAACAAGGAGTCTGGAGAATTCCTACCTAATGGCTGTTAGTAAGTTTACTGAGGGTAGTGTGTGTTTTCTGAGAGAAAACTAAATTTTTGTAGTTTATACTACATATTTTCATAAGTTTTATATTTTATAGTTTTACTATCAATTTTTCCTAAATAGTGGAACAGTTGGGAAAAGAATATTTATCAAGCATCTGCTGTATGCTGTATTCAGAAACACTTTATGTATTTTACCTTATTAATGCTCACTAATCTTGTGTGGTGGAGATTATCCCAATTTTTAAAGATGAGGAAACAAGCTTGGTGAAGTAATACTGACCTTGTCCAAAGTCACATAGGTGGTAGTTACAAGGTCTCTGGTCTGAGTCTGGAGCTGGTGTTCTTGGTCTGTGTGCTTCACTGACCCTAGGGAGGAGAGCAAGGCATTCTGACGTGACACGGCCTCTGAAGGTCATACAACAGAGTCCTAAATACAAAGAGGCACACTGAGCAGGGCCCAAGATTTAGTCAGAGGACACAGAATTAGGTCCTGATTTCTCTTTCACACAACACTAGGTACCAGAAGAATTTGGCTTTTCCTTTGGAATACAGTTGTTACAAAATTTAACCTTTAATAAATATAGTTTCTAAAATAGTTCACAAATTGAGAGAATGAGAGATAGCAAGCTTAATATTTTCCTTTGATTAGTTGGGGAATGTTCTTATGTTTGTACTATAAGAGGTTTTCAAAACATATTTCTGCCCCTTCTAGTCCCATTTTGACTAGGTATGTTCTAGTTTCAAGCTTGCAAATCTTATTTGTAGAGATGGTTGAAAACATGGACTCTGGAGCTCAATTTCTTAAGTTCAAACCCCAACTTGGCAAATCATTATCTATGTAATATTAGGCAAGCTATTTCACCTTTCTGTGTCTCTGGTTCTCATCTGTAACTCATTATAATTTTAGCACAGATTTTACAGAGTTGTTATATAAGTTCATATATGTAAAGTTTTTGAAATAAGGTCCATCCCGGCACATAAAAAATATTATCAGATTCCCTTGCAAGTGGCCTTCTTTCCTCTTCTGTTATCTGGCCAAAGTTTAGTGGGTTCCAGAAAGTCTCTGCCTTGGGAGTGTGATCTGCCTCTAAAACCAACATAGGCTGCTATATGGTAATGTATAGGCCAGCATGTCAGTGACCACAGTTGAGACAAATGTAAAAAAAGATCTCAGGTAAACCTCACCAAGTGTTCTTGCTGGGCTGAAATGGGAATCCAAGCTGGCTGTTTGTGGAACAGTTAATTTTTGCTTCATTCTGAAGTTATTTCATTGGGATTTTTTTTCATTTTGAAGTAGAAGGAACAAGGAGTTTTGCACACCATGCCTTGAGAGATTTGTTTATTCATTCATTCCTTAGTAATTACTAGTTAAACATTTACCACGCATTAGGTACTCTAATGCTCTGGTATTGCAACCAGTGAACAATAATTTACCTTCTAGTTGAGTATGACAGGGACTCAGATAATGAACAAGTAAGCAAGTAAGATAATGTCAGCTATCAGGAAGTGTCTTTAAAAAAATGAAATAGGTTAATGTAATATACAGGGACGGTGGAAATCTACTTTAGATTGTCAAGGAAGAATCTTAACAAGAAGTGGCATTTATACTTCTTGTATAAAATGATGGGAAGGCATAAAAGATGGGAAGGAGACATAAAGGCACACATCTGGAAAAAGAGATTTGCTAGCAGAATGTAGAGACTCTGAAGCAGGAGAAAGCCTGCCTTATTCAAGATAATAACTAAAGGCCCATGTGGCTGCACTGTAGTGAGCAAAGGTGAGAGTGGTAGAGATAATGTAGAGATATGTGGAGATTTTAATCAGCCAACTGACATGTCTTGTCTTCCTTTTTAAATGGTTATACTGGCAAAACATATACATTGGAAAACAGCTCAGGAGCAAGAATGAACATGGGAGGACCAGTATAGAGGATATTCCAGACTAATCCTAATTAATATAGGCATTAAAATTAATATGACCTAATTTTCATCCACAGACTATAGAATTCTAGGGGCTTAGATGATGGGTGATGGCAACAGAAACCAGATACAAATGGAAAGGCTCAAAATATATTTTGGAGCTAAGATCTATGGAACTCAATAGTGGGTTGTGTGCTCTTGAAAAAGAAAGAATGTAGAAGTATAATACAGATTCTAGGAGAAGGTAAGGCATCTGTCCTCCAAGCCAGCTGGAGGTTTTAGGCCCTGACCAAAGGATAGAGCCAAGAGCTATAGCTGCTACACTAGTGAAAGCTTGTTGAGGAACAGTGTAGTGTAATGGTTAGAGTACAGGCTCCAGAGTCAGACAGACCTGGGTTCTCATTATGTGTCGCCACTTACCAGCCACACAACCTTGGGTAAAATTGGTTAAATTCTCTGTACCTCAATTTCCTCTGCTGAAGAGGGGGATAAAACCACTGCCCACCTAGTGAAGTTGAAGTTCAGATGGAATAATGCATATGCACTAACAAGCACCTAGGATGTAGTTTGCCCATAGAAAAGTTAGCCATTATTTTTACTCAGTATTAGTATTACTTGGGGCACTAGTAGTGTGGGGTCCTGGGAACAAAGTGAGATTCATTCACACCCTACATACATGCGCAGTGCTAATGGGTCTGGTGAGGTGTCTTGATAAAGAAAAATTGAAGAGAGAAGTGAACTGTAAATAACTGATTTGGATGGGTGAAGGGTTGGATTGTGTCAATCATTCAGGCACAGACTGAGAACCTTCATAATTTGGGCATTGTGGCAGAGACTGCCACTTGTCCCCTAATATCTACGCTCACTGTTGTGAGTTGAATTGAGTCCCCCCTAAAAATCTTATGTTGAAGTCCCCAACCCCAGTACCTGAGAATATGACCTTATTTGGAAATAGGGTCTTTATAGAGATAAGCAAGTTAAATTGAGGTTATCAGGGTGCAACAAAATTCAGTATGATGAATGCCCTTATTAGAAGGGGAAATTTGGACACAGAGATATCCATAGAGGGAAGACATGTGAAAAGCCACACAGAGAAGCCTGGAACAGACCTCTCTCTCACAGGTCTCAGAAGGAGCCCCACCAACACCTGGCTTGTTTATTTCTAGGCTCTAGAACTGTGAGAAAAGCCACTCAGTTTGTACTTTATTATGACAGCGCTATCAAACTAATAAATTCTCCTTTCTCCATGCTAATAAAATTTTTACCTGGCGCAAGTTTGCGGGAAAGAGGACTACATTTCCCAGCCTCCCTTGCATTTGGGGTGGTCTTGTATCCACATACTGGTGAGTCGGATAACAGTGAAAGTACTATGCTGCACTTCCAGGCACCTTTACCTTATGGAAGAATTCGAGTGTACCATTTGCCTTTTTATTCCTTGTTTCTGCCTCCATCTTGCTTCCTTGAACTCAGATGATACATTTTGGACCAGGAGGTCATGAGTCAGGTACAGAGGAGGAATAGGAATAGAGTCCAGATGCCTCACATTGTTGAGCTCATACCTGACACCACATTAGCCCAGGACTACTCCATGGACATCATGTGAAATATTAATGCACTTCTCTCCTGTTTAAGTATCTTTCATGAGGCTTTATCAATATCACCCAGCCTAATTTTAACTAATACAGAGAGTAAGTACAACAGTAGAGTTCACCTGATCTGATTTACAACCAGAGACTGGTAAAGCCTGTGGCTTTTGGGGGGGTAAGGGGCAGGGGGAATTATACTTACGATCTTAATGGCAAAGATTAAAAGGTAAAATTATAAAAAAAATAGAACATTACTGAAAATTTGAAACATAGGCATTCCACATATTGCTTTTGGCAATATGGATTAATAAAAATTTTTCT